CCCTATTATAATAATTATTGTTATTTATTATTTTTAGTAATTATTTTAAATTATAGATTTTTAAATTTACTTCTTCCAGTGGACCGTTGAACATTTCCACTGCTTGGTCTGCCAGTCATAGGACGTGGATGAGGCAAAAGACCCAGGGGTCTTGTACTGGAGCCACTAGTGGAAGGTGATGGCTGGCTGCTGCTGGTAGTGGTTCTTTGTGCGGTGGTGCTGGTGAGGGCTACATGTTCACCACTAGCCTGTATAGCCTGCCTGACAGCTTCATTGATAGCCTCACGGGTGTTTAATTGACCTAATCCGGTTATTAATTAGGACCAGTTACAGTACATTATCATGGCTGATTGATTTCCTTCCTGTTTCATCTAACAACTTTGTGGTTCATTAGTGTATTCATAGCAATATCATTATACATTGTATTTATCTTATAATAAAGTTTATACTGTACTAAACCACGTAAAACTAACTGCGCATAACTAATGAGGAACTGTAGCGACTGCACAGCAGCTGTACAAATTCAAAGTACAGGAGCCCAGAAAAGGAGGAAAGTTTACACAGTTATTACCACAGAGGGAGTAGTTTTTTGATTGATAAGAATTAAGAAATCAGACAGAGTAAGTGTTTAACTTTGTATTTATAATATGCTTGATACTGTTACATTTTTTTAATGCATTAAAAAACCATTTTAACTTTGAATTATTGTAGCATGTCATCTTCTATAAAACACAAGAAGTACCTTGATAATCATTGCAGAGTATGTGGAAAAGCATTTGATAAGACAAGGAAATACATGTGTAAACAATACATTGAAATACTGGAAGTACTAGGAGTAGATCCAAGCAATGATGATGATAATGTACACCCCGAGTCTTTCTGCAACAGCTGCTATTTAACAGCTAAGCGAGCATCAGTTAAATGTACGTCTTCTAGTTGGCAATCCATTACTTGGACTCACCATGATAATAATAGCTGTCTGATCTGTGATGTTAAATGTATTGGAGGAAGACCTAAGAAAGTAACATCAGGTGGTAGGCCAACACTTCTGACACAGCAAATAAGGTCATATACATTTAATTTACCTCCTTTCTCTCTTGACCAAGTAATCGATCAGTCATATATTGACAGCATTACATGTAGCCTGTGTAAGTCAGCAGTAAACAGTCCAGTTGAAATAGTACCTTGTCAGTCTGTTCTATGTTGTAACTGTTTATTGAGTCGGATAGATAAGGAGCTTGATCGGTTTTAGTGCTCTGGGTGTACAGGGTACCATGACAATCACGTCACCAGTTTCACGAACTTGTCACCACTCGCATAAACCATGATGAAAAAAAATATAATGGTTAGATGTGATAAGTGTCATAGACCAGTGAAGCTAATGGATTTGAACAAAGACTGTACACATCATCTTGATTATAGTTCAACTTTAGTCAGTGGCGGATCTAGGGGGGGCCAGGGGGGGGCAATGCCCCCCAAAAATTTTCTGGAGTAATATAAACTTTGGTTTACCTATGTAAACTGTGAAGCAGCTGCAGTACTGGACTATGTAAACAATCTTTAAACCACAAAGGAGCTCATTTTAGCAGGCTTAGTCTTCATAATTTTTACTTCCCAAAAAGTTTTGCACAAGTCTAGTTGACCACACCCCCTAATTACCCCTCCCATCTCACAATTGCCCCCCCAAAAATTAAATCCTAGATCCGCCCCTGACTTTAGTGGATGCTACAAATCTACCATCAGATGCTCACCCTCCTTAATTGAGGAACAAGTAGCCACTAATGTTGTCACTCGTCTCCTACACCAAAGTGACAGTCCACTTGTGAAACTGCCAACAGGAGGACAAGTAAGAATACTAATTATTGAAATTATATTTACTTTAACTTAGCCTCTAAACCTCATTAAAGTGTCAGCTCCTTTAGTCCCAAGTGGTAAATGCACCAATGAAACTGTGAGAAAAAGAAGCAATGAGATTAAAGCTGTGAGAAAGATGTGAGACAGCCAAGTCCAGCTGGGGAATGAAATGAAGATTCTACCTAAAAATGAAAGAGAGAGTTTAATGAAAGATGCTCAGTTTACAGTCACAATACCACCAGAGGAGGGGCTTGCTATGAAAGCAAATCTAAATATACAATGGCACAA